TGAAGATGCACAAACACACAGCAACTGTTGAACAGAGTCTGGTACAGGCTGGGAAAGTTTATTCAGCCAAACCCTGGCTTCAGTCTGGGCCTGTGTTTCCAAGCACAGATGGGGGAGTAGAGCTCAGTACTCAGTACTCAGTACTGAGTACTCAGTACTCAGTACTGTGTTTGTTTGTATGCCACACAGAAGTCCCAGTAACAGGCTGCCTGTTTCATTTGTGCAGGTTGAAAAGTTAAAAATAACCAAGTGAATCTTCAGCATGTGGAGAACATGTAGCTGCAGGTGTGTGTTTCAGCACAGACGGTGAAATTCAGAAACACATATGCAGACGATGGGATTTAATACATGCAAGAGTTGAGTTATAATATGAAATAAAATGTGAGAATAAACTGTACTACATGAAACGAGAGCGAACTAAAAGAGTTAGTGATGTGGTTAAAGAAAAAAAAGGTCACACTTTAGTGATTATTATTTTAGTGATCATCTCTGTGAATTCACCAAGAGCTGGTTAGTACATTATAGAAAATAAAATAGAAAATAAACTTCAAATTATCAATAAAAACACTTTTTTTATTTTACTTCCCCAGTTATTCCATTTTCAGCTGTGTACTGTCAGCTGTGGCAGCACAGATGTGAATATTATTGCTCATGTCTTACGTCATCCATTTCAGTGTTTGTGAGGAACAGAAAGATTCAGTTTTCACATAAACATTCAAACGGACAAAGAGTTCTGCTGTCAACTGGTCTTTTCTAAAATCTCTCTGTGGTACTGAGGACACATGACCTCTGTCCTACGGCACACGTGGGTGTCATATGTAGTACAGTCTACTGGCCACTGGTCTCCCTGCTCCACTGACTGGTCTAACACTTGTCCTGCACCTGGTGCAGCTTCACAAACGACCTGACTGTATCTGTAGTGAGATGGGACAGGAAACTGCAGCCGCCCTCACTTTCACTTCAGCTGTGAAGTGTCACAGCAGACCTGGGTGTGGCCTGTGACATGTCATCTATGAAACGAGAGGACGAAAAAAAAAAACACATTTGCATATGAGTCGATTGAAGAGAAATTTAAAAAATATAGCAGGTGTGTAATGTTAACCTGTTATTGATGGTTAATGAGACATTTATGTTCACTCTTAATCAGCCGTAGATGGTAATTTATATGTGGCTCAGTGATGTCCCCCGTCCCCATGGTAATTTATATGTGGCTCAGTGATGGACTGTGGCCCTCAGATGTCCCCCCTGTCCCTCAGATGTCCCTCCATTACATCAACTAAACAGGTTGAGGAACAGAATTGATGAATTCTTAAATAATTCAATAGATTATAGTTCATCACTGTTTGGTCTCTTTAATAAAACATATTAAACCAACATGTTTTTTTTTAATCATTACCAAAAAATATATATCTGGCAGACAGTGGGGGGGCGAGGTGGTCTGTTCAAACCCTGGTGGAATTTCTGTGTGGAATTTTATAATGTTATCCTAATTTGTGCTTGGGTTGATTTTTATTTTTTTTTTTGGTAACTCCTCTCCATACAACAGTGATGTAAGACACTGTGAAAACTTGAAATACTCAATGAAATGACTCAGTGTTTCATGTAGAGACGTTGAAAGAGATCAAATAAGCTCCTGCTCCAATCCTCACCCTAACCCTAACTTAGCCCAAACCCCTAACCCTAGCAGTGAATCATAACTCTAACCCAGGGTCATGTGATGACACGATGACTCAAAAACAGGAGCCAACACACACTGCTGCACTGTGCAGAGTAAAGAGGAAATGAGGTTGTCAAGGCAATGAGGTACTGGTTAGTGACTGACTGTCAGTACTGTTGACTGTTGCACAACTAGTTACTGAGAAGATAAATTATAATCTGAGTAGAGTCCACCTCCAGTGACCCAGTCTGTGAAATAGACTTTACCTGATGAAAACATGGGTTTGAAGACCAGACTAAATATGGACTGTTTCATCTTTACTCTCTGTTTCTCACTCTCCCTCCCTCCCTCCCTCTCTCTCCCTCAGACTGGGGTGTTGTGTGAGTGACCCCTCGATACCATGACGACCCACGTGACCCTGGAGGATGCTCTGTCCAATGTGGACCTGCTGGAAGAGCTGCCACTTCCTGACCAGCAGCCATGCATCGAACCTCCACCTTCCTCCATCATGTACCAGGTGAAGTCAGTGACACCAGCAGGGCCTCAGGAACCACGGTGGAATGTTGGGGTGTTTGAAGAGCACCAGACACACTTTGGTTTCCAAATGCATTCAAATGGTGTAAAACCAAATCAGTCGTCCATCCCATAATGTCGTCCTATCACTCTGACCTTGGTCTGCTTGCTCTTCCCTTTGTTTCCGCCCTGCAGGCCAACTTTGACACCAACTTTGAGGACAGGAATGCATTCGTGACCGGCATCGCCCGTTACATCGAACAGGCCACGGTCCACTCCAGCATGGTGAGACGCTTTTCCTGTCTGTGCGTCGTGGTGTTTGTTTTTTCTCATCTTCAGTCTTTGAATCCACACTGAAGAAACTGTGGCCTCACAAAGAGAGCCTTGTTTTTACTGAATCCATTATCATTCTTTTGGCTGGGCCCCTGACAGGACACACACACACACACACACACTGGTTCTTGTGTTTTGTGAGTGTGTCACATAGACATACATGTGCAGCTCTCTACCCTAACATTAATCTGACCCTAATCTAATCCTAACTCCATAAAACCCTCTCACCCAATAGACACTTGTAAAAGTCCCCACTCTTGTACTAAGACCTGACACACACACACACACACACACATTTTCCTTCACACACTGATGAATCAGAGCGGCCCAGATCACTGGACCTCTGTCCGTCCGTGGTCCATGAGCA